TTCCAAAGATCTTTGTCCTGCCATTGCTATTTTACCAAAGAGAAACCTGAGCCCAGGAAAGTTAAGTGGTTTGCCCAAGACCACGCAGCAAATAAGTGGCAGTGGCAAATGGCAACCCAGCCCTCTAACTCCAAATTCAATGCTCTTTCCACAGCCCGTACCCATTCCATCTATTAAAATTCACATTGGGGCTGGGCGTGGTGGCTCACGCCTGTAATCGTAGCACTCTGGGAGGCTGAGGCAGGTGGATCTCTAAAGGTCAGGAGATCAAGACCAGCCTGAGCAAGAGCGAGACCCCATCTCTACTAAAACTAGAAAGAAATTAGCTGGACAACTAGAAATGTATATAGAGAAAAAATTAACTGGGCATGGTGGTGCATGCCTGTAGTCCCAGCTACTTGGGAGGCTGAGGCAGGAGGATCGCTTGAGCCCAGGAGTTTGAGGTTGCTGTGAGCTAGGCCGATGCCATGGCACTCTAGCTGGGCAACAGAGTGAGACTCTGTCTCAAAAAAAAAAAAAAAAAATCACATTGGAAATAAATTCAGAGTGCTGGAAAGTGGTATTGTGAGGTCTTCTGTCACTTTATTGACGTGGGTCAACGTGACGCGTATTTCTAAGGTGATGTTCCTTTTCTGCCCAGGCCCTGACTTTGAAAGCTGCTGCCTGGGTTATGGTCACCGTATCCAAACGCCCTGTACCCCTTTACATCCGGGTAACTTGGAGTCAGAAAGAGTATAACACACTTTCTGAATGGTACGCCTTTCTTTTTTTTTTTTTTTTTGAGACAGAGTCTCACTTTGTCTCCCAGGCTAGAGTGAGTGCCGTGCGTCAGCCTAGCTCACAGCAACCTCAAACTCCTGGCTCAAGCGATCCTGCTGCCTCAGCCTCCCGAGTAGCTGGGACTACAGGCATGCGCACCATGCCAGCTAATTTTTTTCTTTATATATTAGTTGGCCAATTAATTTCTTTCTATTTATAGTAGAGACAGGGTCTGCTCTTGCTCAGGCTGGTTTCGAACTCCTGACCTTGAGCAATCCACCCGCCTCAGCCTCCCAGAGAGCTAGGATTACAGGCGTGAGCCACCGCGCCCGGCTGGTACGCCTTTCTTTTCACAAAAAATAGAACATTTATTAAGCAACAAAACTAAAGATTTGCTTACGTTCGCATAGTTTCACATTACAAAAACTAATAAAATTTGGAAACAGATTTTAAAAAATAGAGTTAAAAATAGAGATGAGTTTGTCTCTTAAACTTAAGTCTTTCCCTCTTTTCCATACACTGCTTTGAGAAGGAATCCTTAACTGTTCTTTTCAGCTACAGTATTGAAGTAATAAAGTATTCCTCTCCTTGACATTTAAAATTCGCTTGTAGGGTTTTTCCTCTAAGGAAATAGGTAATCTGTCACTGCATTTTTGCTAATCCCAGGAAAAATTTTATTCTTTACTTTTCCATGTATTCCCTTTCTAATTTATGTAAAAAACTTTTTGTTGTTATTATTAAAAGCAGAACCAAAGATCCTAGCCTATAATAAAAATTAATTTTTTAAATACATTGAGATAAAGCCTTATGTGGTTTTTAGAGACAGCTTATGTTTTATTCATAGGTGTTCAGACCATCTAAAATAGTCTAAAACTCCTATGAATGTTTTTTAATTACCACTGTTCCAGTATCTTGCCACCTTTCTTGGGTGAGTAATTTCTAAAACTTTATTTATTCATCCTTGCAGAACAATGGCAGGATGAGTTTGCCAAGTGTTTGGCACAGGAAAGTACTGAAAAAAATTGCAAGTTTTTTTTTTCTCTTGTATGTGCTAGGCTATATATTAATACTAAGTTTAGAAGCATCAAATCTATTAAGGATTTTCATGATATGTGGAAAGCAAACCATTAACATTGGGACTGCTGAAAAACCAAGAATTCTCTATAACACAAAGGGAAGATGTTAAATGAACAGATACCCCAACATCTCTCTTTTGGGCATCAAATAGCAGTATTAGTAACCAACACTTGTGCAGCACTTTACAGCATGGAATGTGTTTCTCCCTAATATTGTCTCTTTCGTTCTCATAATAATCCTGTGAGATTAATACACTTACTAGCCTCCCTTTACAGTTAAAAAATTGGCTAGGTCACATGGCTTGTAATGAGCAGATCTGTTACCCTTTTCAATGCACCCACCAGAAGGTAATTAAATTCTGTATTGGCTGTTTCAGGAAGTGAGCGCCAATTTTATTATCTAATTCTGCACACTGTTCCCTCCACTTCATTACTAAAGGCTCTTTACAGTTTGTTCCAAGCCCGCTTTCCACCCTTTGTGGAGCCCATTGCCCAAACACACCATCCTCCCCCGTGCCCCTGTGAGTTTTCTAAAGTTGTTTTATCCTGAGAGTGTCCTTCTTCTCCATCTTCTAGCTCAGTGAAGTCCTGTGAAACTTTTCAAGGTCCCATTCCATTGTTACCTCCTCTCAGTGCCACACCAGGCAGCATCATTCCTTCCCTCCTCTGGGCGTCCCGTTGCTTCAAGTCAGAGCAACTGCAGACTGACGGGAGGAAAAGCTTTTCCACCTGTGTATCCCCAGGACCTACTACGCACCAGATATGGTGCCTGTGGCAACAGGACAGGCTCCAGACCCACCAGATAAAGGTCTGAGCCCCTGGAAACACACTGGTCTCTGTCCCACTGGCTTCAGAACTGCGTGGGGCTGCCCTCATACTGCCCCCTCACCAGAGGTCATCTTACTTTACAGGACATATATCAAAGGAACAGCACCCTGTGCTAAAAAAAAAAAAAGAGAGAGAGTTTAAAATGAGCACCTAGAAAAATTTTTTAAATAAAAAGCCATAGCTATGCCTAACTCCCATCAGACAGCCCAACCTGTGTGACTGGGCTTCGGCCCCTGTTTCCTACTGAATACTTCTCCCTCGGGCTGGCACTCTTCCCTGGGCCCCACTTAGCTAGCCAAGGTGACTCTTACAAGTCCCCCTGGCATGGCAAGGGAGCAGGGCACTGCCAGCCCAAAGGCTTCAGCTTTCGGCACTCTTAGAGGACAAGTTCGAGTTTGCTGAACATGAAGTTTGAGACCAAGGTCAATGTACTGCAGGGAAATGCTTAAGAATGGAATAGTCACTGAGAACCATAAAATGGTGCCAGATCTAACTATATTGTACTATCCTATATTGATTGCTGCTATATTGATTCATAATGTTGGACCTTCTTGGACAGCAATGGCTTCAATCACATCTGAATTCACCAGCATCTTTGGGCCCTGGCCATTGGGCAACAGGACACCTTTCCAGAAGATAAGTTCCTGAGCCAGGAATGATTCCAACCTCCACCCCTCTGCCTCCATCCCTACAACAGAATCTCTGCACAGCTTGGTGCCATTTTCTCTGAGATGGGACTTTCTAGAATCTCTCTCATGGGAACCGGGGCTTGCAAATAAATGTGAGGGAGGGAGAACACACCAATCCTTGCTTTGTCACCTAGAGGCTCCCATCTTAATACAACTCCAAGTTTAGAGTCCTTTAACTGAATTCCAGGAGCTGCCACTGGCTCATCAAAGCAGGGTACCCTGATATCATTCTCCCGCCCTTATTCCCCTAGTGCTGTCATTTCCAACTAAGAAGGTTTTTATTCGGTGTGCCTGTTTGCCAAAACTCATATAAATCAGAGTGTGCACTTTGCAAGGCTTAGATTTGATTAATTTTTAAAAATTGAGAAGCTGCATGAGTGGGGTTTGAGATTAAGTGTGCAAAGATGTCTAAGAGCAGCCTCCCACCAGCCTTCAGATTGAGATGGATGAGGAGCAATACTGGGTTTGAGCTGCCCATAATTGAAAAAGTGTGTGCCCAAAATATCATATTTATCCTGAATTTCTACAAGAGCCATAACTCTAAGGCTTTCCATTAGAGCTTCAATAAAGGGAATGTCTTCAACTTTAAGCATCCCAGATATTCTCCATGTTTGTCACACTTACCGAATAAGGTTAGGAATGTTAAAGATAAAGGGTATTTAAGAGGACCAGTAGGGTCAATTCCCTAAAGGGAATGGTCTCTAGATTTCCCTGGGAAAGCAGCATAAACCACAGAAGGTAGCATTTGTGAGTGAATAAACAACAGGTGGGCAAACGTGAACCACACAGGTCCAATCTGCTAACCTTCGGAAGCTGCACCCATGGTGACCACAGCAGTCCTTCCAGAAGGTGTCCAGGGTACAGGCCCAGCTGCCAGGCACCCAGCTCTGTGGTCTCCATTCACACGATTTTCCATGTAAGTGACTGTGGTTCCTGAAGTTGCACAACGAGGTGGTTGTGAGCAGCAGAAGCCACAGGGGAAACCAAAACGCGGGCCCCATGGCTGATATTACAGGTCTTATGGCCCTCTCTCAGCCCTGAAGTTGTGTCAGGAGCACCTTCAGAAGGAGCTGAAGAATGGCATTCATGTGAACATTCAGAAAATGCCGAGCACCTGCTCTGTGCGTGGTCTTGTGCACGGTGTGAGGAACGCAATCACGTGCGAGACATGGTAAGTGAGTATGTAAAGGAGCATGTGGGGTGGGCTGCAATCTCTTGTCTGGCTAAGGCTTTGCTGCAGTTTTAATGTGTGAACACCTAATCTGCTGGACCCTCCCCACAAACCAATCCCTGTCCTTTCCCTCTCCACCCTCCCCCGGTTCCATAACTCCTTTCATTTTAAATGTCATTATACAGACCACAAAATATAAACAACTATAGATTAGATCTTGGAGTTAGAATCTCTCCAGAAATTTAATTTTGTTCTTTGCTCTCTTTGGAATGCCTAAGTGTTGACATTTAAAAGTTCTACTGGTGTTTTGTGTGTGCATGCATCCACACTCATTATCTGTACACAAATAACTTACAGAGGATGTTTCTGGTTAAGCAGGCGGCTCTGGACCCAACTTTCAATGTGGATCATAAAATTAAACTTAAGTATTAAAAAGTTGGCAAGAATTTTCATAGGAGATTTTATTTTCATCACAGGTCTATTGAGTTTGAATAAGAGTGGCAGCTAAGAAGAGTGCTATTTCAGAAGAAGAAAGGAGCTGATTTTCCTTGTTTATTTTTCTGGAGGTGTCTTGTAGCGCTTAAAGAGAAGACATCAATTAGCACAATATTCTGATGACTTGTTGGAGTTTGTGGAGTTGTTATCCTAGGGAACTAAGGGGCTTAATTAATAGACACCTGACCCAGCCAGCGTGAGGCTTACAAAAGGGGAGCACCCAGGTGTCAGCACAGAAACGCTGCCGGGGAATTGCTCACGGCACAGCAGCCCCGGCTGCCTGAGGCTCTGCGTGAGGAGGTCTGGAGGGGGATTTTGATGTAGGTGGCCGGGTGACCACGCTGAGCAACCCACCTGCTCAGGTGAAACCCGCTGACCAATACTGAGCACACACGCAGGGCACTCGGGATCAACTGGTCATTCCCAAAAGTTATTTGCAGGTTTATTTTCTCTAAAATAAAAAGTAAAACAAAACACACAACCATCCTCTCACTATGTGCTTAATTCTCCAAATACCTCCACAGCTCAGGAACATAAGCAAATACGATAAAGGATGAAGGTGAGGGGGGCAGGAAGAATCCCCTCCAGCCTCCAGTTCTTGGCTCTACCTGGGCCTCTGTGTGCACTGAGATTCTCCCACACTTGAAAAGCCGCATAGCGGATGCTTAGTCAGGAGTCCGGCCACTTCCAATCAGTTCGGGTGACAGGCTGACAGCGTCTAGGAAGGGGTGGTTTTGTCCAGACCCCTCCAGAGGGCAGATGAGGAGCCCGGCCAAATCCGCAGGTGTAGACGTTCCTCCACGTTGCCAGGATGCATTTTCTCCACTGGGTGAGAAGCCACAGTCAGAAATTCTTTTCCTACAGGCTAAGAACCCAAACATATGTGACTGATTAGAGCTAATATCTCATTTCTAATTCCACTGATTCCTTGAAAAGAGCAAGTCCCAAAGACCGTGGCTATTCTTAGCAATTTCGCCTCCTCCCCCACCGCGATCATTGCCTCTCACGGAGGAGGGGGACAGCTGGCAGGGACCCCCGTCAGGTGGGCAGTGAGGATTCCTGCCGCCCCGTGTCGGTGGGGCTCGATCTCCAAGGCACACACCGGTGGCCAGATCAACACACACCCACACGTGGGTCTCTCTCTCCTCCCTTCTTGCTCATTTTTAAGCCACAGCTGCAGCAGAGCTACCATTAATAATGAGAAGGCTCCTTTCAGGGCCCAGGAACTCTTTGACTTCCGCCTCCCCAAGTGTGCTCCTTCTCCTTCGTCCTTTCATCTTCCTGCGGTTTGGTAGGAACGCCTGTCCACGGCCTTTCTTTTAGTTACCACAGGAAATAAAGGAAAAGCTTAGGCCCCATCCACCCAAATCACGGACTTCAGTCCTCGCAGTGGATTTCCCAGGGCAGACATAGCAACATCCCAGAGGCCGGATCCTTGTGCCCCTCAGAACAGAGCTGAGGAAAGAACAGCCAAGCCCTTGAGAGTCATGTGGGCTCCACACAAGGCCTTGCTGGGCTGTCCCTGGGGTGGCCTCACCGAGTGTTTGTTAAGCCGAGTTGAACGAATCACGTGGAAGCCCCCTCAGCGTCCTCCAGGTGTGGCCAGCCCTTGTCTGTGAGAAGCCCTGAGGTTTCACAGACAGCGTCTCAGACGGGGAACAAGTGACTTGGTGTTTAGTTCCGGCATTGCCACTAAGTACGTACCCGTGTGATCTCAGACAATCTCCTGACTTCTCTGGGTCTCATTTGCTGCATCAGTGAAAACAAGAGCCTTGCCCTGGAATTACTAAATGTTTCCTATGACCTTTTCCAGCTCTCGAGAGGTAGAAATAAGGATCTGATTCAACGCTGGTTTTCTCTTTAAGCAAAAATTTCCGCCGCGTTGCCAAAGGCCACCGTTTACCTTTGCATTCTGGTCACCCCTCTTCTGGCTTGGAAAACAGGCCACGTTAAATGCAGCCTCATGGTTCACATTCATACAACAAAAGTCAAAGCCTCCAAAGCCAGCACTGGGGATAAAATAATGATAAATGGAAACTAACTTTATCATCCAAAAATACCCCATCAAACTCTGAAGAAATATTGATAATAACTCTCCCATCTGCTGAATAAATCAGAACAAGACTGGAGATTCCACCTAACATTGTTTGAGCATGGAGGGAAGCCAGTAAAGTACTAGAGTTTCATGAAAACTGATCTCTGGAGAACTGACATAAATAAAGCATGTCAAAGTTTTAAAGAGGAGAATGAAAATAAAAGGGATGGCAGAAGTGTTTTCTGTTTATTATTATCCCCATTGTAAAGAACTCTTGTAGAAAGAGCACAGGTCTAGAAATCAAGATACTTGGCTTCTAATCCAGCCTCTACCACTGATTCCCACCTAAACTTAGTCAAATCTAATCTTCGCCTCTCTTTATAGGGTACCTTGTTTGTTGATTGTGAGGCTCAAATAAAAAATAAAATAGACGGATATTAATAAAAGCACTTTGGAAAAAAAAGTTCACACTGCTGTGTGAATAAACTGCGTGGTTAATTATAAATAAAAATGATAAAATAACTCCTCCAAGTACTGGAACAAAAGAGCTCCGGGAGGCATCAGCTACTTAGGTGTCCCCTGCAGGTGGGTCCAGATGTGGGCACCAGGATAGAGCCCAGGATCTCCAGCCCCCTGGAACCTTCATGGCATCCATGCTCAGCCTGGGCTAAGCAATGAGATCTGCAGTGGAGATGGGTGAGGGGGGAATTGAGAAGGATCAGTTTAGTCTTTCCTGCCAAGATTCTTACAGCACTATTATTAAGACCCGCCCCAGGCTCCTCCCCATCCCCAACAAGTCCCAGATCTTTTGGATAGGGACCAGGTTTTTTAAAAGTGAGGTGGTTAGTTCTCCTGGCCTCTCGCTGTCAATCTAAATACTCTGGGGGACAGCCCAGGCTCTCCCGAAGTCATCTCAAAGTGCAGGGTGGCCCTGGGTGACTGATGGTCAGTTGGTATTTGGCGTATGAGTGCTCAGGTTTGGGGATCTCCACCAGATTCTTGGTGCCTTCGGTGGTTACCTATGTTCCCCACCCCCAAACATGTAATAAGTGGAGTCTACAGTCTAAATGACTAATCAGCCATATAAATGGACCAAAATATCTTCTGAGGCTAAAGTAAGAACAGCTGTAATGATTATAGTACATAGTTGGAAACTTAAACTGGGATAAGTCCAGTAATTTATAGGTATCTCCGCATGTTTACATAAATGTGGTCATCTGCCAGGATTGCTAGCATATACCATATGGAAAATAAAAATCATTCTTTTTTTTTAGGGGTAGGGATGCTCTCTTACATATTCTTTCTGGGAAAGAACATGAAAATACATGGCATAGAAGGTAGGGCATGCGATCTAAGCTGCATACAATAATCTTTGAGAGTTCAATACCAGAAAAAAATTTCTCCTTTTTAAAAATTGTGCTTTCCAGCTTTCTCCTATTCTTTCTCCCTGCTTCCCAGATCCTAAGCTTCTGATACTAATAGAATTTCTGCAGCTGCTGCTGCAGAAGCACATCACTATTCTCAGGCTTCGGGGACTGTGAGTGGGGAACAGGGACAGGTCAAAGGTTGTGTTTGACTTTCTAACATTGATAGAGGTAGAGGAGTCCCCACAGAGAAAGAAAAAAGGATTGAACTCTATCACTTGGCTTGTCAATCATGACATAGTCAATTTCTACAGATTTTAGGAAAAATTTTAGGAGAAGAGAGTTGGATTATTTGAACAAATTGGGTATTTCAATGAATCAGAATTTTAGCACTAGAAAGAAATTTAAGGATTGTTATATTTTACACATGAAGGACTCTTCTCCAAGGAGGTGAAGTGGTTTGTTTAAAATGTGTTAGTATCAGAGCCATGACTTTCACTTGAAATGTGTTTAGAGAGAGAAAATAAGTGGGAGAAGCAAAGGAGGGAAGATACTGGTTTAGCAGAAAGAGAGAGACACATGCACAGAGAGAAACAGAGACAAAATAGAGGGAGAATAAAGAAAAAACAAAGAGACTTGAGAAAGAGAAGAAGGCAGTGTTGTAAGAGGGCAGAAGACAGAACAGAGAGGTTGATACATGAACATGACAAAAATACCATAGCATATATTATATTTAACAATATCCCATGCTTCCCTTCCTTGATATCCTCCACCTAATGAACCAACCTTCAACTTACTAAATGGGATATGTTATCAGAATCAAGATTTCTGGGCAATCCTGAGCATTGGAAAGCCTATCACTGGCTTTGCTAAATAGATCCTAGTCTCACTTGGACAGTGCAGTTTGATACAGTGGGTAGATGAGACCTGAGATATTCCTTCTCATTTTCTGTTTTGTTTTTTTGGTTTTCCCCTCCACTACACCTAAACCATTCCAGAGAGATGAAATTCTCAAGTGATTCTACTCCCAGAAGGAAGCTGAATGCCTTGAAGCATCTGGCCCGGTGCCCTCATGTTGTCACAGCTCATAGCTCATCTTTCTTTGTGCCCTGGGCAGCTGATCTGAATATAGAGTATACGCGCACTTCAAAGGAAGCTGGGGGCTGGAGTTGGGGCCTCACTGCTTTAATCAAGATGGATTCAAAACCTTTGCTTATCAAGGAGAAAACTGAAACCAGCAATGGAGAACTAATTTACACCGACTAAAAAGGAAAAGGCAACTGAAAAGGTGCAGGGAGCTTAATAAGATTATATTTAATGTGGTAATACCCTCCTAGCAGTTGATGATAGATTACATTTACTTTTTACCTCCATCAATAATATTATCATGTGGAATAAGATAGCCTCCTATAAGGTATGAGATGAGAACTCCAGGAAAATATGCAATAGCTCCAGAACACTGTTTCTACCTGCATGTCACAGTGATGATATTCCTCTGTCCTTGAGCTTGGGGCTCCTTGTCCAAGCTTCTTGGGCCAATGGTGAGAGCTGTACCACCGGCCACTTCCTTGTGATGCTGCACTTCAGTGGGACAATGCTCCACTGAGCTCCTCTCTTCTGGGGCTCTACTTCATGTGGGGGCCATCCACATGGAATGCATCAAATGATGACTTGGGTTCTGAGTTATTTTTCCCCAAGTTGGTCTCCTTCAGGAAAGCGCTGAATCTGGCATATTGTAGGTGCTTGAAAATGTTTGTTGAATAAATGGGAGAAAAAGAAACAAATCTATTATTCCTGTACTCACACAGCATCCAGCATAGTGCTAAACACATAGATAACATGTGAGCCACTACATACATATGTGTGTGTGTGTGCATGCACGTGTGTGTGTGTGTGTGTGTGTGTGTGTGTGTATAAAACCCTAGGGGACATGAAAAAGTCCCAAAGGCTCAAGACTAGGGAGTTTATTATGTCCCTTGCTGAGAGGATACCTGAGAGCCACTCGGAAGCCTTCCATTGCCACAGCAGGAAGAAGACTCAGGGAAAAGGAGGGGGAACAGAGGAAGAGGTGCCTGGAGCCAGTCCTAACTTCAGCAACCTATTCCTGGACTGCTTCTCTGGATTCTTTTCTTCATCGAAGACAAAGAAACATGATTTCTAGGACCTCCACTTCCCTCCCCCTTCTAATGGATATCAAAGGAAGAATTGTTCAAAAATAGGACCCATCGATCCAGCAATAGCACTATTAGGCATCTACCCTAAAGAGCAAAAGACATTCTATAATAAAGACATCTGCACCCGAATGTTTATGGCAGCACAGTTCACTATTGCAAGCACGTGGAAACAACCTAAGTACCCATCAATTCATGAGTGGATAATTGAAATTTGGTATATGTATACAATGGAATATTACCGTGTTTCCCTGAAAATAAGACCTACCCATAAAATAAGCTCTAGCAGGATTTCTAAGCATTTGCACAATATAAGCCCTACCCCAAAAATAAGACTTAGTGATGTGGCTACGCAGCATATTTGCACAACCCATGCATTTTGTCGCGGAGCGGTAAAGAAGATGAGAAGCCCTTCTCATCTGCCCCATGAGAGCTCTATTGCTTGACATGAGAGATTGGGGCCAATGGTTCTAAAGGAAATAGAGTCGCAAGAAACTGAGGATGGAATTTGGGGTTTGAAGAGTTATGATGATGTTCCAGAAGAAGACAACTTAATTATATTTGATTAAATGTAGATTGTTGTACTGTACATAAAAAAAAAAAATAACACATTCCCTGAAAATAAGCCCTAGGGTGTCTTCTTGAGGAAAAATAAATATAAGACCCTGTCTTATTTTCAGGGAAACACGGTACTCAATTATAAGAAACGACAGTGATCTAGCATTTCTTATATTTTCCTGGATTGAGCTTGAGCCCATTATCCGAAGTGAGGTATCACAAGATGGGAAGAATAGGCTCCACTTGTACTCTCCATCAAATTGGCACTGACTGATCAACACTATGGTGCTCACGGGGGTAGTAATATTCTCCAGGGATTAGGGGGTTGGGGGGGTAAGCTCACAACTAAAGAACACTGTGAGCATTGTAGAGGGGAAAGGCATGCCTCTAACCCTCCCTTTGGTGAGGCAAAGACATAAAATGTAACCAAAATGTTTGTACCCTCATAATACCCTGAAATAAAAACAAACAAACAAAGAAAAGAAAAGAAAAAAATAAAAATAGGACCTAAAGAAAGAGATAGGCACTAAGAGATGGGGTGCCTTTCATTCTCACTTGGGGATTTTTTTTCAAATTATACAAACAAGAGCACCACCCCCTTTCCCTGCCTCATCCCCAGCCCAGTCTGCTCCTCCTTCTGCAATGCAGTCTTCTCCACAGGGAGATGAGATGGGGTGAGGGCGCAGAATCCTCTCCAGCTCTCCTCTGCTATTCTAAGTGGCAGAGGAGAGGCAAAAGAAGAAACCTAGGGAGAACTAGTAACAAAAGGGAAGTATCTCTAGGAGTGTGTACAATATTTCAAACAAAGGTTCTCCAGAGAACATATGTAAGTAGTGAATATACACATGAAAAGATGCTCAGCATCATTAGTCCCTAAGGAAATGCAAATCAAAACCACAATGTGATATCACTTCACATTCACTGGGATGGCTGAAATAAAAAAGATAGACAATGAGAGGTGTTGCTGTGGCCATGGAGAAGCTGGAACACTTATGTATGGCTAGTTGGAGTGTAAAATGGTGCAGCTTTTTTTTAGAAAACAGTTTGGCAGTTGTTCAAAAAGTTAAACATAGAGTTATATATGACCCAGCAATGCCACTAAGCACTATATATGCCCAAGAAAATTAAAAACATATGTTCACATAAAAACTTACACAAAAATATTCACAGGAGCATTATTCATAATAACCAAAATGTGGAAACAACCCAAATGTCCATCAACAGATTAACAGATAAGTAAAAAGTTCTATATCCACATTATGGAATATTATTCAGCCATAAAAGGAATGAAGTCCTGATACATGCTACAATATGGATGAACTTTGAAAACATGGTAAGTAAAAGAAGCTAGACATGAAGTCTGCTTATTGTATAATTCCATTTAAATGAAAAGTCCAAACTAGGAAAACACGTAGAGACAGAAAGTGGATTACTAGTGGCTGTCAGGGGATGGGGGAGGGGGAATGGGGAGTGACTGCTAATGGGTCAGGATTTCTTTCAGGAGTGATGAAAATGTCCTAGAATTAGACAATGCTGATAGCTGCACAACCTTTTGAAAATATTAAAACCCACTGAATTGTATACTTCAAAAAAATAAATTATATGGTATGTGAATTATATGTCAATAAAAAAATTTATAAGAAGAAGAATTTAGAATTGCTCAAAGGACAGTTAGGCCCATACTGGAAACTCTAATCTTAACTTGAAAAGTTCTGCTAGACCACCAGCCTCCTCACCTCTCACTCCCCAACTTCCACCCCAGTGCAGCCCAGAACCACAACCCCTAGCTATTCCTAAAGGGAAAATAAAGGAAGGAGAGATGCCAGTCAGCGACTGAAGGTGACTTGAGAAGCACTTGATGTCTGCAGACATTCCCTATAAGGGGGCGAGGGAAGAGGTTGGACAAAAGAATGTGAATAATGGAAGATGAACTGCCAGCTCTCAAGAAGGGATCAGATGCTGAATTCGAAAGGAAGCCAAAGTGTCTCCAGGGAGGCCTCTTTGTAATACCTTCCCATGTGTTGACTATAAGATAGTGCAGCCAACATAATCCTCTTTAGGCAGAAATGCATTTGACCTGAAATGCGAGGTCAACCTAAGCAAATCTGAGGCTTTTTGCCTGCTGGGCTCCTGCACGGGTCCTGAGTTTGCTGGCCTAATTCTCGCTCGACTCAGGGCTGTGTGTTCCCTCTCCTTGAATCCCTTCTCTCACCTAGGATATGTGTGAGAGAGGAAGAGATGTCACAGTGTATTACATGAGTAGTTGTTTATTTAACTACTTAAAGATCAGGTCTAAAAAACTGAATTGATTCCTACCAACAGTGTGCAAGATCTTTAATTTCTCCATACTCATGGTATGAATCAATTTGGTGCAGCCAGCACGGAAAACTGTATGGAGGTATCTCAAAAAGTTAAAAACCAAACTACTACATATACTCCGGCAATCCCACTTCTATGTGTTTATCCAAAAGAACTGAATTCAGGATTCCGAAGAGATATTAGCACTCTCATGTTCATTGCAACACTGTTCACAATAGCCAAGATATAGAAATAACCTAAATGTCCATCAGTAGATGAATAGTTGAAGAAAATTTGGTATATACATACAATGGAATACTATTCAGCCGTTAAAAAGAAGGAAATTCTGCCATATGCAACAACATGTATCAACCTTGATGATATTAAGTAAGTGAAATAAGCCAGTGACAGAAAGTAAAATATTGCATGGTTCTGCTAATATGAGGTATCTAACTAGTCAAGTTCATAGAAGCAGAGCTTAGAATGGTGGTTGTCAAGGGCTGGGTAGAGGAGGAAATGGGCAGTTACAAATCAACTGGCATAACATTTCAGTTAAGCAAGATGAATAAGCTCATATCTGCATTATAATATCATACATACAGTCAACAATAATGTACACTTAAAAATTTCCTGAGAGTAGGTCTCATGTTTCTTGTTCTCACCATAATAGCATAAAATTACTCCCTCCTTCCCCCAGAAGAAAACCCAAATTGATGTCTTTAGGAGATGCTAGGGAGCCAACTATTCTTTCTGAAAATTGAGAAATAAGTATTTTTTAAAAATTAAGCTTTTAAAACTGCCTTTACCATGTAAATTGTACCACTGAAAAAACAAAAATTGCATGGGTCCTTCAATTTCTACAAATTCATGAAGAAAGAATAATAGAGTTAGAATATTAGGCAATCCTAATGAATTAAGAGAGCATTCAACATCAGGGACTACTAACGTCACAAAAAGAGAGACATGAGCCACATGCTCTCTGTGGAAGAGCACACAGTCGCCCATGAGGTCAGAATGCTGTAATAGACAAGAACCTGGACTGGGCATTTAGATACAGCCAGAAACCCAGAGACTAAAGGACAGATGAAACTTTATATGGGGAAGCAATCAGGAAAATCGAGACCGTAGGAAACTCTTTAGGTAAGTAATCCAATTTCTTCGGTAAATAAATTGTAAGGAAAAATAAGGAGATGGAGAGGAAATCTATGTAGCAAAAAAACACTTTAAAGATTCTCAGAAAAACCAAGCAAAACTAAAGTAGGTTGTTTGCAAGTATACACTTAGGTAATAAGGCTATAAAGAGAAGTAGGAAGTGGTTACAATAAAAGTTAGGACAATGGTAACTCTTAAAGGGAGAGAAGGGTGATGTTTGAGGGAGGGGCATGTAGAGGGCTTTGGGGGTGACTGGGAGAGTGTTAGCAAAGACCGAGTCAGGAGGATAACTTGAGGCCAGGAGTTTGAGACCAGCCTGGGCAATACAGCAAGCCCCCATCTCAAAAAGGAAAAAAAAAAAGTGTTAGCCTTAAGCCGGGTTGGGTAGCACATACCTATAGTCCCAGCTACTTGGGAGGCTGAGGCTGGAAGATTGCTTGAGCCCAGTAATTCAAGTCTAGCTTGGGAGACATAGAGAGACCTGTCTCGAAACACCAACCAACCAACCAACCAACCAACACCCCCCCCCGCCAAACCAATAAAGAGTGTTCGCCTAAAAACAATTATTTTTAACTAAAATAACTAATTGTTTTTAATTAAAACAATTATTTACCCTGTACATTTATTTGCATCTTATGATTTTCTGTACTTATACTTAATAATAAAAAGTTTTAAAAATACAAAATTAACTTAAGGAAAGTCAGCTTTGATGGGAGAAATGAAAAAGAAAAACCAGACAATGGAGAAAAAAAATATTAAGAATGTAAGAGAGAAAAAGGGCGTGGATGCGGGGAGAGAGAGGGACACTCCTACACTGCTGGTGGGACTGCAAACTAGTTCAACCTCTGTGGAAAGCAATATAGAGATACCTCAAAGTGATACAAGTAGATCTACCATTTGATCCAGCAATTCCACTACTGGGCATCTACCCAAAAGATCAAAAGTTACTTTATGAGAAAGACACCTGCACTCGAATGTTTATAGCAGCACAATTCACAATTGAAAAGCTGTGGAAACAACCCAAGTGCCCATCAATACATGAGTGGATTAATAAAATGTGGTATATGTATACCATGGAGTACTACTCAGCTTTAAGAAACAATGGTGATATAGCACCTCTTGCATATTCCTGGATGGAGCTGGAACCCATTCTACTAAGTGAAGTATCTCAAGAATGGAAAAACCAGCACCACATGTACTCACCAGCAAATTGGTATTAACGGATCAACACCTAAGTGGACATATAGGAATAACACTTATCGGGTGTCGGGAGGGTGGGATGGGGGAGGAGGGCACGGGTGTATACAACCACAACAAGTAAGATATGCAATGTTTGGGGATGGACTCGCTTGAAGCTCTTACTCGAGGGGGGAGGGGGGCATGGGCAATATATGTAACCTTAACACTTGTACCCCCATAATACGCTAAAATAAAAAATAAGAAAAAAAATAAAATGCATGATTAATTTGGCCACCGATACCCTTGGCGATAGAATCCGGGAGGAGACGGAAGAGCTGGTGGAGAGGAGACTGCAGTTGAGACTTGCTAGCTGACAGCGCGCGCACGTGTTGGTTGGGGGAACAGGAAACCGACATGCTGAGGCCACCGTTTGGTAGAGGCCTGGGCGGCAGCACAGCCCCCAGAAAAGCATGTGGGGTAGTGTCTGCGGCGACCCCGTCCGGGAGACACCCGCATTCCCGGGAGCAGCTGGAGAAGTCAGGACCCGTGCAGGGAAATGTCAGCCGTGTCAGAGCCATGAGAGCAGAGAAGCGAGGCCTCTGTAACAGAAATCTTTGTCTGCCTGTCCACATGTCTGTCAGCATGACATTTTGGGTCAATAAATATTCATCAGGATGCACCATTCCAGCTGACCTATGCTACCCCCTCCACTGGAGGAGAAAATAAACAGGGCCTGTGGGTGCAGTGGTTGTCTGCCCCCTTCAGAGTTGCCATTGTGCTCTGTGTGGGAGCCAAGAGCTCAGATGAATTTCTGCCTCCTTGAATACCTTGGGACCTGCACATGGAATATCTGGTACGGAGCCAGCTCCTTCCCTGTGTGTTAAATGGCAATATTGTGCCGTCAACATTGTTAACTATGAGAGAATAACATTCAAGGGGGGTTGGTTAATCAATGCACAATTCTTTCTGCAACCCGCCAATGGGAGAGTTCCCCTGGCAGTGTTTGTTTCTTCCTCCTCTGTGCCCATATCTATTTCCATACATCTGTTTTGGCTTTTCCTCTCATTGCTATTGTCTGTGCGTCTGTCTCCACAGTGAGGCTGGGAGTCTTTCATTCATTCATTCATTCAATAAATATTTATTGGTGGACTTTCAGGCCTCCAGAACCGTAAGAAATAAATCTCTTGCTCTTTATAAATTATAAATAAATATTTATTGAGCAACAATTAGGCACAAAGCATTATGCTAGATAAAGTGGCGAAAGAAATAGCAACCAATAGAGTCAAGGGGCAGATGTCAAACATTAACACACAAATACATACACAATTCTACACGATGTGGTTGCTAAGAAAGAAAAGGCTGAGATAAACGATTACACGGAGAGATACGCTAGATATTGCTACATCAGAAAAGGCTTCCGTGAGAAAGAATGAGAGGGGATTGGCCAGGCTGGGCATGAGGGTGTGTGTTGCTGGGCAGAGAGTGTGGCCGGTGCCGGGAGGTAAGAGGGAGCTTGGTGCGAGCCAGGGATGTGGAAGCAGGGCCATGATATGAGGAGCCTGGTATACCCTGAGAAGCATCTTAGATTTCTCACCTAAGTACAGCAGGACGGGGTACATGTTTAGAATTGGGGAGACCAGTTATTGCAGTGGATAGAGTGATGATGGAGGCGTGGACTAGAGTGGAGGAGGCGGCGATGAAGTCAGCAGATCTCAGGGGAATCTGGGAGCCAGATTTGGTAGGATTCTCAGGTGTATGCGAATGGTAAAGGGGTCATTCCAAAACTTCTGGAATGAACACGCAGGTAGGTGAAGGTACCGTTCACCAGCATAACTCACTATCAAAACAAGATAAGACTAACTAGCACATACACACACAAATGCTGAAGCATGACTAAACTCATCTATGAATACTGATACAAAAACTCAAATATAATCTTAGCAGATCTAATCCAGTAGTGTAATAGTAGTAGCTAACATTTATTAAGTATTACTATTTACTGCAGGCCAAACACTATTCTAGTATTTGCATTAACTCATTTACTTAATGCCCATAACTTAATTACTTATATTAACTCATTTATATTCACACAACCACCATGTGAGAAAAGTACTATTGTTATTCCATTTCACTGATTGGCAATTTCTAGCTCAGAGCAGTGAACTACTTTCCCTGATACTTTCCCTGCTTCAACAGGGATGACACTCCTGGACATGATGGTGAACAGAAGCCAGAGACTTCTTTCCATGTAGGACTCTATTTACATGAAGTCCAAGAATGAGCAATCCTAATACATGGTGTCAGGATAGCAGTCACCTCTGTGGGAGGTATTCACTGGGAAGGAACATGAGGGTACCTTCTTGGGTACTGAACTGTTCTTTTTCTGGATCTGGGTGGTTGTAACCTGATATATGCATATCAAGTTGTAAACTTCAGATTTGTGCACTTTGCTATATGCATTTTTTATCTCAGTAAAAGAAAAGGTATGTGAAAGACATATAGAAGATGAATATTTAATATCTTTATATACAAAGAGCTCTAAAACCAATCAAAAGTAAACATCAATCTATTAGTGGGCAAAGGATCTGCATACAGAGTTCACAAATAAAGAAATTTAAGTAGAAAATAAATACATAGTATATGAAATATGTGTAAGTAGTAAATGAAGAAATGAAAATTAAACATTAATGAGATATTTTTCTCCTAATAAATTGACCAAAATAAAAAAATTATAATACCAAGAGTAAATGATAATGTGGAGAAATAGATATTCAAATGTTGCATGTGGAAGTATACATAATTACAAATTTTACAAATTTGAGGCCAATTTGCATGTATTAGAAGTATTTTCAATTGTTTATACCTTGAAAGAGCAATTCTATTTCTATGAATTCATCATAAATAATTACTCAAAGTCTGTATTTATCTATATAGATATTTACCATAACTCTCTTTAAAAAAGCAAAAGTTTGGAAACTACCCATGAATAGGTGATTAGTGAAAAACATTATTGTATATTCACACAATAGCACATAACATACAGGCATTAAAAGTGATGATGCTAATCAATATTTATTAGCATGGACAGATGTTCACAACATATTGTTTAAAATTCAGCACAAAACATATATAATTACTATAAGTATATACATATAAAATTATATAGTATGATATAGGTGTATATTTATAATGTACATATTATATAACTATACTGGATAGTTATGAACCAAAATGGCAAGTGCGGTTATTTGTTGGTAGAATTATTAGGTAGAACTTATTTCTTCCCTACAATTTTTCTGCACTTCATGAATATTTTATAATATAAAGTTTTTTCATTTCCTCACTTTAAATCAAAAGCTATATAATATAAATTTCACAATCATACATGTAATATACATATATCCAAAATAAAAAAGAAAGCGCATTTGTCTAGATTTCCTGGCAATTTTCATTTATAAACTTCATCTGCCTTGTTTTTCTTTGAATAGTAAAATAAGTTTTAAAAGGTAGTAATTAGCATGTATATAGTATAGGGATTCTTACTTGGGGCATTGTCATCTGTGTGGAGTAGTTTGAGAATGCCTAATATTTTCTGAACCTCTTTTCTGAGCCTGGAGAGTTTTCCACATGGTAACTGTTAAAGGTGAGGCCATTTCTCACTGTCCCAGGCTTCCTTGCTGCTGCTGCTGCTGCTGCTGTCAGTAAACGAGGCTTTGCCAATCAGATGCACCCATGTGAGTCCTCAGCTTGGAAGGTAGTGCTACAAGGAGGCAGGTGTGCACAGCATCCCTCTCAGGTGACCATGACCACAGGGGCTCAATGGCCAAGCTCCTGGAATCCAGGACCAAGCATTTTCAATGCAAACTACAGTGTCTCTGCAAGAATCGGAGTTGTTGCCAAGCGCTGGCAGCGATGGTGTTTTCACTGGAGCAGATTGTACAGTGTGGTTTAGTGTTGTTTCTGGCCACATTCTTTCTAAGTCTGCTTTTCTTGCCCTCCAGGGAATTCTGTGAGTTGCTTAACAGTTTCAGTAAATTCTTTTTCTGCCTAGTCAGAGTGGATTCTATTATTTGCAACCAAAAGCTGTACCAAACAGTATTGCCTTCACCCCCACTTTACAGATGAAGAAACTGAGTCATTAAAAAAACTGGAGAAAATTTCCCAAGATTACATAGTGATCTTAATATGTAGTGAAGCCAGACTCAAGTCCAAGACTTTTGATTCAAAATCTTATCTCTTTCCACACTGCCATGCTGACATCTGGAAGATATGTACAAATATTTTTACAAGGATTATTAATAATTAGGCAAATAGATTTGAGCATGGAATATCCCAGAGGAATCTAAAATTAAGATATTCACCTTGAAGCAAGCTCACTAATAAAAATAAATGTTACCATTTCACAAATAATTACTCTATGTCAACACTGCCCATCAGCAGTGGGAGGGATCTGAGAGATTTCCTAACCACTCTCATTTACAGATGAGAAGATTGGGGCCCAGAAATATGATGGAATTTTTCTGTGTCATTCAGGAATGGAGAACTAGGAGAGAAAACCAGGTTCGTTGACTCCTTTTTCCTTTATTTTCAGTGGAGGGTGAAGTTGTTTATTAACCCACTTAGAAATGCATTTATCACACAAGTCCAATGCCTAATGAAGCTCCCGCTTAAACATAAGAAGGAATAAGTGTTAAATCTATGAGAAATAACCACATTTAAAATATTGCCAGCCAGTTACAGGGATACTCTCAACTATACCATCATCAAATCTTTGGGGTGTGTAACTGAGAAGCCTAAAATAGCTTTTGAGAGAAACCTCATGAAAACATCCTCTGGGAAACTGAGATCACATTTCCACCCAGCTCTGAAGCAGAATTTAATCGGCCAGGTTTGACGCAAAAAAATGGTCCCTTCGGCAGAAATCTTAGAAAACTGTTAAATCCCATGTTAATCCATGGAAAAATGTAAGATTTAGTTCCTAAATGTTTTAAAATAAAAATATTTTATAACAGACATTACTATCTCTACATTCTTAGATAATATTTTTTGTTTTCATAAATAGGACATGTTTTACCCTAAAGGCCATTTTGATTGACTCTGGAGGAGAAGGGGGAAAAAAAAAACCAACTTGTGTTATATAAGGAAAACTGAACCTTTAAATTTCTGATTCATTTCCCCTTAAATCATCCAAATATTGCTTTTTATGGGCTATGCAATAGCCAAACAGTCTCAAAGGGGGTGTTAAAGCATTTCAAGCCTTGCTTCCCTTAAAATAAAATAACATAAAATAAATTTCAAAAGGAGAAAGCAAGCTCCAAGCGAATCTACGTGGCCTACAAAAGGTCTCATCAGGCCAAGATCTAAAATGTTCAAGTGGGTTCTAGATATTCTAGATTCTCCTTTTCTTGTTTAATAGGTGACCTTTGCATGGAGACTGCCTTGAGTGCTTAAATATATCTTCCTATCAGAAAAAGAGTAAACTTTGTTCCTGAAATCAGAGCACCCTTTTTCTCTTCATCAGAAATCACCTCGAGATGTTCCAGTGGGAGGTATTATACCAATCTAACACATTTATTTGCATCTAATCCACGAGAAAATTATTGGAAAATTATGCTTAACTAAGAGAGTCTACTTTTATAAAACTATTGGTTGATTCAAATAGTGGAGTATGCGATTCATTAAGGGCCAAATCTATTACAATCACACATAAACACAATGTGGACTTCTTTGCTTCTTTATCTCTATTATTGAGACAAAATCTCTGAATGGTAGTGTGAAATCAGGTCATTTTTGCCTTAAAATCTGTTTTATCTCAATTATCCCAGGAACCTACTTACATGAATAACTTAGGAAGGTTGGAAAGAAAGTTTAAGAAGACCAATATCTCAATCAATAATTTAAGACACTATACCAGTTTATATGGCAGAAAAAAATCACCATAAATTCTGCATTTCCAGGCAATTGGTGAACTGACTGCTGGATTTTGGGCTGGATAAAGACTAACTGCCTTGATTCTGAAGAAAAGCTAGCACAGATAACAACATAATATCTTAAGCAGAAATCAGAGGAAGCCATTCAGAAATTAATTCATAATTCTACCAATATTTATTCAGTGCCAACTATGTTTGACACTGGAG